GTGGTGGTGGTGGTGTGCGGTGGTGTGCGGGGGTGTGGTGGTGGGTAATGGTGGGTAATGGTGGGTGGTGGTGCGTGGTAGTGCATGGTGGTGTGTGGTGGTGTGTGGTGGTGTGTGGTGGTGTGTGGTGGTGTTTGGTGGCTGGTGGTGGTGGTGTGCGGTGGTCCTACACAGCGAGCTTTGTGAGCTTCCCAAATTTAAAGAACATTCAAGAGCTGTTAGCATTGCGCAAAATGCGAGGGTTTCTTCAGTGTGTAAAAGTTTTGGACACGCTTGAACTGTTGAGAATGGTCAGTAGGTGGCGGGGGCGCGAAGTCACAGTAGCAGCAGCGGCGGCGGCGGCAGCGGCAGCGGCAGCGGCAGAAAGTCATGAAATCCCGAGTGCGCAGCAGCAGGAACAACGTTGGCACACTATAGTAGCAACGTCATGACGTTCTGTGCAAGACCATACAAATCCTGGCTAGCAGCGAAAAAGACCCTAGAAGATCCGGTCGTCCAGACCCCTTTGCCTCTGCACTGAACCATAAACAGCCCTGAACTTTGAACCCTAGCCCTAAACACAGGTTTGGGAATTCTTTTCCCGGGGCCTCTTGTCCTCGCCGCAGAAGAAGTCCTTCGGCTTCTGGGCGCCCAAGCGAACGAACAGCTCCAAGCTAAAGAGCACAGTGTAGATGTTTCCTGCGGGAGTGTAGGTTTCAGAGGCCTGGGGATTTGGACTTAGAGGCAAAAAGGGAGCCACAGAGAAACTCTGAACCTCAGGGCCTCTATCCTCAATCTCACGCCCGACAAGCCCAACCTACCTCTACCAATAACTTGACCATCAAAAACATTGAATGCGGAACTCAGAAGGCTCATGTTTTCGGGCCAAGATGCGAACGACCTTGAAAACGGGGTGGTCCGGATTGGGGTAGTGGTCCACACCATATTGGACTTCAATCCTGGGCTTCGGCACTTTGGTTTAAGGGTTTGGGGGTTTGATTACACCTGCTTTCCCGAAACAATAAGCATTCACCCCCCTGGACCATAATGGCCCAAATATATTGGCAATCTAGATGAAATGAGGGGCAGGGTTGTTTTACGCTAGGTAGGCGAAAAAGAACGTGGTTGTTGTTTACGGCTTGCTTCAGCGACTTATGGAGGTGCTCAATATCTATGGCTTTCCCAGGGTTAAGCTTTCAATTCCATTGCGTTCAACATCGGCTGAACAAGTTAAAAGCTAGCCTCTGCGCAGGTAAGATAAACAGTTGGGTGACCAGGAATCCCCAAACATCCCGATAACCCTTTTTTGCTTCGGGTTTAGGGTTTAGGGTTTAGGGTTTAAGGGGCCTAATGACCCTAACCGTAAACTGGGAAAGCTTACCAGTTTTGCGTCCTGAGGGGACAAATGGTTTAGCCGCCAACGCTTAACCCTGAATGCTGCTGTTCTTGACCCATCTCCTGTTCATAGGGGCCCATCAAAGAACGTAAGCAAATGGAAAGCCGGGGATACCCCAGTTAAAGCACGTTATGACAAACCCCCAAGAGGAAGGGATATCCCCCTAAAAAGCTTGTGCTCATGTTCTTCTTGGCTGCCTATTGTCATGCACGCAGATGGGAGGAGAACAACTGCTTGTGAGGTGGGTTTTTTTCTTGAACCAACTATGTTCTTGGAGGCTATATAATGGCAGTTGTAAAGCTGAACCCCAAGCCCCCCCTACAAGCAACCAGTGCGTTGAAATTTGAGTTTTGGGTTCCCAGCAAGTTTCTGTCAAAACGGCCCATGGAACGCTACAAAGACAGAGAGTTAAGACTACCCATCGTCGACGTACAAGTTCCATAGCCTCCTTTAAGGGTAGTTGTGACTACATTGTCGAATAATGTAGATGCCTCCTTAAGTAGAAGCAGGGCTTGGGGTATGCGATGCCATGTTTACATTCAAGCTTTTCCTGAGATAGCATGGCCAATCCCAAAGCGCCAATGTACATGTACAGCATATACTTAAGCCCCAAAGCACCTGTATAGAAACCCGTTTAGGCTCCAAGTACATTATGCATACCTGGACCTTTTGGCAATTTGGGAATGATTCAAGATTTACGATGCCCACAGTGGTCTAGGAACATTCGGAAGTGGCGAATGGTCAGTTGGACGAACACCCCCGGTTTGTGTTTCTTTAACACCCGCTCCCCATAAATCTAAATATGGAGCTGGAATAAAAGGAATACAGGACTAGGAGGATAAGGAGGATAGGGAAGATGGCCATTCCAGGGGTGCTACCCTAAAACCCCAAGCCCAATAATTCTACTCTAGAGAGAATCAGCGAGCTCTGCAGAAGAAACTTCCAAAGTCGGCCGGCTCCCTTTGAGTTTTTTTTGCTTAGCATAACTAAGTATGTCACCTGGTGACTGCCAAGAAACCCTATGAACACCGCGTTGGTCAAAATCATGCACGCGAAGAAGATGTCAAACAAGGGACTTGCAACAATCCTGGGCCAGAGTTGCACTTGGAAGTTCCCAGAGGGATTGTTGTAGCGCGCAGGGTGAGGCATGCATGACTCATCAGACTGAGTGTGGACTTGCTTCTCTTTTCAAGGTTGCGAAAAACTTCAACTTGTCAGCTTGAATGCCATAGCTCACCATCAACGGCTTCAGCAAATTCTTATGCTACTACATGAGCCATAGTCTAAACTCCTAGTATCCCCCTTAATAAGCCCTATACTATAATACTCCCGTATTTGATCCCCTTATATAACCCCTTTTTGAGGGGTCGAGGGTATAGATTACATGAAAACCTGGTAAATCTGGTTCCTGATCTTGACTGCCAGGATTCTAGAACTGTGATAACCCTAAACCCTGGACATCATACAGCTACACAGAAAATGAAGCCACCAGGAGGTCCAGTGGGTCAAAGGGACTTGGCAAGTGGTGTGGCCCCCCCTCCTGTTGGCGTTGCAGGAGCTGTAAGTGGAATGGCTGAATCCTGCTTAATGGTTGGATAGGAAGAACCATAGATTTAGTGCAGGCTGTTTGTTGAGCAGGACCCTCAGGAAGCTCGAAAGATCTTCCTTTGGATGAATTAACTCTTCCTTTGTCATCAAAGGCTAAAGCACCCTAGAAAAGCACTGAGGAGATTATCGGGGGCCCCTTGAAATGTTGGCGAGGCTGAGCCTAAGAATTTCGCAGCTTAGGGTTTAGGGCCCTGCCAACCGCCTCTTAGAATCATAATGTAGTTATAGGGTCCTTCTTCTCGGAGTCGGGCAGCCAAGTTCCACTTGCTCTCAACCGTGTTGCCAGTGGGCTGAAACGCTAGAACCACAATCATCCAAACCCTAAACCCTAGCCCGTTTTGCTTATCAGCTACTGGTTAAACCCCGACCGTGAGCCCTCAGCCTTAAAACCCGAACCCTAAACCTAGCGTAGGTTTGGCGGCCCTGTAAGAATTAGATGTTTATGGCTTTATAAGGAGGATTAAATAGGGGAAGAAGCGTGATATAACTTCAAACTCATTTACAAATCTCCCTAAAGCCTAAACCCTAANNCCCCCCCCCCCCCCCCGAAGACCCAAAAGATCCAGCGGCCGTTCGCAGATCGGCGGCTTATGGATCCCATCGACACTTCGGTTGCTTTTCCTGGAAGCTTTCGCCTGCCAAGGGGGGGTCCTACGGTATTACAGGGAGCTAAATATGGGGGGGTTGAGGGGTTCAGAGTCTTTTTAAGTTGAGGGTTTAGGGTTCAGGGTTTCGGGATATGACCCTGACTCCGAGAAAGGAGAATCAAAGGGATATGAAGAATGGAAAATTATCTGCAAACCGGGATTCCATCGTGGGTGGTTTATAGGCCAGAAAAACGGCAGCAATTCTGCATATTCAGGCCTCTAAATTCGGTTGAAGCTCTGAAAGGCAGGGCTCCGGTTAAGGGGCCTAGGGTGCAGGGTCTACTGCTCAGGATGTTGGGCTCCAGTCCCGCTTCATCCGTTCATGAAGCACCAGTAAGAGTGATTCGTTTATTGGTATATGGGCGCTTCCAACAAGTAGGAACCCCTTTGACGGGGAGCCCTATAACAAGGATCATACTATGTGGGTGTCCATATTGGGGGCCCGATTTGTGCAAACTCCCATCGACTGGCCTAACCTTCATAGGCTACAGAGTTGATTCATCACGAACATCAGTTTTCAATCTTGATGAGAGCCTCTTGTATTCTGAACCAGCTGTTGTCAGGTTGGGTAGGATTTCACACATGGGGATATACGTTTTATAAGCCGGATGTTACTTGCCTCCCCGTGCATACGGGCCCCGCATATAATACCATCATAGAACGGGAGAACATTTCTTATTAGGGGGTGGGGGGGCGGCGGGGTGGGGAGGGGGCTAGAAGGAAATAGTCCTTATTACTCTAAGGGATTTGGAACCCCAGTAGAAATTATAATTTCAGCTAAATATTAGGATTAAAGGTAACAGAAATTAGAAATTATCTTCAGGAACCTTGTAGATTATAGCTGGAGCCTCACCATGCTACAACCAGATTGTCCGTACTATAACTGGAAAGCGGTCCCTATCACAACTGGCGACAAAACCGGTCCCGACTGCAATCAGCAAACTATGTAATTGGATTGCCATGAGATGAAAGAACCTTTACACCCCAGACCAATTGGAAGAGTGCTCTTGAGTGGGTGGTCTTGGAGGGCTCTTGAAAGAGTACTCTTGAGTGGCTGGAAGGCTCTTGAAAAAGTACTCTTGCGTGGGTGGAGGGCTCTTAAAAGAGTACTCTTGAGAGGGTGGCATGTTTCAGCACGCTGCGGCGCATTTCTAAGTTTCCATGTGCAAGTTTGGGGACGACTTTGGGGGGTTTAGGATGTTGATCCGGCATTTCAGATTGTATTAAGGGGTGGGAGGCTCAGAATCTAGAATGCCCAGTAACCTCGGACTAAAAAAGTCACCCTTTTTGCGGATAGGTTAGTTTTATAAAGAACTTAGAACCCCAACATCGGGGAAACGTGCTTGCTCAATTCCCCCGAATGTATTAGGGGGAGGCGGCCAGCCTGGTCCGCGTCAACTTCAGCTGCTTTTGCACGGAGCTCCTCATCGACGCGCGTGAGACTGCTAAACCTGAGCATGGATTTAGGGTTTAGGGGTGTGGGCTTATAAGGAAGGGCCTCCGTTTCAGCTCATGCGGGTATGGATGATTAATGCATACAACAAATAAGAGACGAGCGCAAACTTAGCAATCCGGTTCTGACGAGTTTAGGCATGCTTGTCAGCATCATTAACCCTGACTACTGATTTAGAATATCTTGAGCGAGCTCATCCAACTGGGGGACCTCTCCCTCTATGCTTCCAACTTCTTTGGGGTTGTAGTTTCTGGCGGTGGTTTTTTGATTTTGAACACCGATAGAAAGGCCCTTGACACAGTAAAAAAAGTGACCATACGAAAGAGTGTGGTCAGAGACAAGGAGATCACAAGTGTTAATGAGCTTGAAGGAGCTAAGCCCCTTTATGACTAACCCTAGAAGCCCAGGTACCCATATAGTAGGTTCTTGGGTTATAGATAGTATAAGTTTATCGAGGGACCCAAGAACAAGGACCCAATATAGGTAACTGGGCTTCTAGGGTAACTTATGTTGTGAAAAGCTCGCAGCGATTGCAAGGGAGTTTGTGGGATTTCACTTAGGCTTATAGTAGCTATGCGGCAGCATAAGGGATGTGTACTGATTTGTATGGGGCATAGCTT